ATACCTAAATCTGTCTGCTCTTATGAAATTCTGCTATGCGAATACAGTAAAAAAATCAGGTACAATACTACCTGGTACATCAAAAAAGCTAGGTAATAATTACCTATGAAGCAAATTTTGAGTTTTTTAAGATGTCATAGAATTTAAAGTTAGGTTTCCATAAAAAAAAAATCTGCGTGTTAATTTACGTTCGTTATTGCTCTTCATTTTCAACTATTCCTCTTCTACTTTTACTTCATTTCTCTTCAAATCTTTCGTGTTCTAAGTTCTTTCCTTTTCTTTCGATGCTCAGTCTCTTCAGATTTTCCTTCGTTTTAAAATTCAATTACCTTCAAATCTCTACGTTCTTTCTCTTCTTTTTCATAATTTTTTTTCAAACTCTCTTCGCTCTCTTTAAATAGATTTCTTCTTTTTCATCATTTCTCTTTCAAATTCTCATCGCTCTCTTTAAATAGCTTTCTTCTTTTTCATCATTTCTTTTTCAAACTCTCGCTCTCTTTAAATAGCTCTCTTCATTTCTTTTTCAAACTCTCTTCGCTCTTCTTAGCTTTCTTCTTTTACGCTGTTCGTATAACACTTCTATAGCCAAACATGTTTCAGCTCTGTGATTGGTTCACACCTTGTTCTTGTGCACGTATGGAATTTAAATAAAGACATAAAATTAATAATGATAAAAAATAATTACACTGACAATTATTAATTTTGCTTGGTCTTGAATCGAAAATATTTTGTAAGTGATTTCAACTTTAGTTTCAACGATTTCTTTTTCGCTTTTTTGATTTCTTTTATATCTTGAAATATGTTTTCTTCTTCAACCAGGACTGACAGAATGGGTGGATTTGATCGGTTTTCTTTTTTCTTTCTTTCTATTTCTGCATCAGCTTGTCTTGCTTTTACTATTACTTCGAAATAAAAATCAAGGTTTAGTGTTGATCCAAAATCTCTGAATATTGCATCTCTATTGCATTGCCAACTGTCGGGGATTGTTTCCACCGCTGATTCTTGGTAAATTAGATAATCGGGAGAAGAACTGCTGAAAATATCTCTTGATGTTTTAGTATCCTTGTCAGCATTTTCCTCCTTTGCTTCTTGGTAGGGTGGTAAATTGGAAGAACTGCTGAGGATTTCGTTCGATGTTACATTTTTATAGTCTGCATTTTCCTCTCCGTATTTTTGGTAGGATGTTAAAAAGGTGGAACAGTTGGAGATTTTGTTTGATGCTGCAATTTTTACATCAGCACTTTCCTCTTTTGACTGACAGGATGGTAAAATTAAGGAACTGCTGGAGATTTCGTCGGATGTTTCGAAATGAGTGTTAGAATTTTCTATGCTTTGATCTTGTTTTTCCTGTTTTAATATCTTCTCTTTCATGGCGGGACTTAAAGTGAAGAATCGCTCTCTAATTTCGTTCCAATCTAGGGGCATAAAATTTTCTTCTGGAATAGGAGGCGTGAACAGTTCGAGATCTTAGCATGGTGTAAGCTGCGGTTCGTTGTTGATACTATTGTAGTATGATATTGTTTCAGAAGGTTCTTTGGAATATTTATCATTTTCAAACAGAACAAGAGGAGTTTTGAGGTGAGGTTTTTTCTTTGGGAATCTGAAAAGTTTTAATTTTTTTATGAAATATATCTTATATATACTTTGTCTATATTGCACATAAATTTTAATATTTCATTAAATTCTTGCACATAAATCTTCAGTTCAGTGTAATTCGGGTTGTTTTGCATTTTTTTAAACATTTGAATGCTTTTTATGTATGTTTTCTTGACCGTATTCTTGATGTTACAAATTCTGAAGTTTTGCTCTGGAAGCAGAAAGCTATAGAAATACAATATTAAACATATCGGGGTTTCCAAAGAAAAAAAATCGAATTTTTTTAAGCTTTTAGGACCCGACAAATTCTGTTTCATTTTGTTGATATTATTCGCTAAAATCAGCTAAGTTTGAGGTTCGGAGAATTTAAAGTGAATGGTTCACTCAGAACAAATGTGTATTCATTGAAACGTTCGTTTAAACTGTATATTTATATTTAGTTTCTCGATATCCCTACTGTTAATCTTCTACATGTTTCATAACATATTATTAAATATTGAAAACTTATGTGCTAAATTAAGCATAATGTGATTTCTCACTTAGTTTCTCCAGTCATTTCAGAATGAAGTAGCTTTTAATATTTAAGTTCCAATAGATAAATATATATATTACAGGTGATTCAAATATCACTCAAAAACTAACAGAGTATGCGAAATAAAGTTGTCAATAATTAAAACATTATTGACAACTTTAATGCTGCCATGAGCAACAAGTAATAAGTGAAAAATTTTAAAGTAACGACTTTCAAAATAAATGAATTATTACTTACAATTTGGACCAGATAATTCTGAAGAAGTTTTTCATATTTGGGATTTTTTAAGCAAGTTTTAGAAGTTCGGAACAGAAAGATTATTTGTCGCTGTGATTTGTCAGATAGGTACGGAAATAAACAAAATGTATTTTTGAAACTAAAGAATTCTTCAATTTATTTGTTAACAGTTGATTCTTTCATTGTTACACTTTTTTAAAAAAAACTTCAAAAAATTTAATGTGTTTAGATTGTTATTAAATAATGACAAGTCCGCAACAATACCTACATTTTAAGGACATAGAGATGATGCCCCCCCCCTCCCAATAATATTCCTAAACTCGAGGAATTTTTCAAAATCCTTTTAAATCATCCCAAACTTTTTCTATTTATAGCTTATGTCTAGTAAAATTTATAATGGCCTATGTATAACTTAACAAAATAACTTAATGATTATTTAAATGTAATATGAAATCTTACTAGTTTAAAACTTATGTACAGGGATTGCATAAAATACTTAAACAACTATTTTATAACTTTAAAAGTGTTTGAGTAATGCTATTTCACATACTTTTCATAAACGTTTTAAGCTTTAAGAGGTTTGCGAGAGCGACAAAAAATTATCAACGGGAAATAATGTTTTTGGACACCCCAAAAAATGTGGCAATAAATTTTTAACTTGTAAAAATTATCTTTGTTATTATATGCAATAAATGCACAAAATTTCGTTAACTTAGCTTAAATATTTATAGAGGTGTGGGCATTTTTATCAAGAACTAATTTTTTTGTCTTGCCTTTTTTTGGCTAAAGTTTTAAAAATATTCAATAAGTTGAAACAAAAATTTCAGAACAATTTAAATTAATTACAAAATTACTGCTTTGAAATTAGAGAAATATTCGTTTCAAAACTGTGCAAGATATGAATAATTCAAGTAATTTTTTTTACTGCACATGCGATGGAAAAATGCGAATTTTTTTTCTTCTTTAATATGTAAAAAATCGTGTTTGGCAACTAATAAGAAAAGCCAGATTTTAGTATCTTAAAAATATTTAGAGTTTCAAGCAATATTCTAAGTTGTTTTCGTACTTTTTAAAACAAATCTCAAAATTATAATCGGTTTTTCACAAATTTCATTTTATACTATTAAGCAAAATGTATTAAAAATGACACCGATATTGTTAGGGATCATCCCCTTAAAAATATCTTCTCCTTCGCCTGTATTATTTGTTATGTAATTTTGTCGTATGTTACAAAATAATATTTGTAGAAAATCCCATATAATTTTTGAGTTTCTTTTTAAACGTATTGATTAATCGTGGTTTGGTTGTAATCACATTTTATGAATATAGGCTTTTTCCATATGAAAACAACAAAAACAAAAATCCTTGACCGCAATTTTTTTTCACATTATACTTTTGTTAAGTATTATGTTTTTCAATATAAAAAAAAATCTAAGGCGTTTTTTACTTTTAGTCATTAATGAAATAAATGGTAGGTCAAAATATTTCAGGATTTAAAATACGAAAGCCTATATGACATACAAGATTATATGGCAAAATAACAAAGTTTCTAGACCTAAATGATTTCACGTGATATATGTTAAATATTATACTTTTCAATGCAAAAATATTTTAAGATTTTTTATGGTACAATAACGGAAGTTTCTTGTCCTTAATTTTTTTTCTCACATAAATGTATTTTAAATATTACTCATTCAATACTGAAAAAAAAAACAAGAAAAATTTTTGGTGGGTCAGTAATAAAATAGAAATAAAATAAAAATAGGCTTATGACCGAAATATTTCAATATTTTATGGTAAATAACAAAACTATTAGACCTCAATTTTTTTTTTTCATGTAATGAATGTTAACTACTACAATTTTCAATGCAAAAAATTATAAGTTGTTTTTTGGTCATCAATAAAATTAAAATATGTTTTTGTCCAAAATATTTCCGGATTCTTTTATTGGAAAATAACAAAATTCCTTATTATTTTACTATTAAATAACTATTATTTTATATTACAAAGCTAAAATAGAAATAATTAATTGGCATCTTCAGCCTTCTTTGGCAAATAAATTTCCATATTTGCTGTGAAATATCTATATATTAATAGAATGTCTAATGCTTAGTCCATTCTCTAAGTAGAATTTTCATGAGCATTATAAAGCAAGAATAATTTAAAATAATCAAATTTAATAAGTTATATGATTTTTTAATAAATAAGTTATATGATTTTTTTTAATAGAAGGTAAATATTTAGACTTTATTGTTCAGTTTCTTCTTATAACTAATAATAATATAACTAATAAAACTTTAGAATAATTAATATAACTTTAAATAAACATTTTTTCCATTTTTTTTATTTATATCGTACATTAAAAAATTATTGAAAATTTCAAAATTATGCCTCTAAAGTTATTTGGGTTACCTAAAGTCGTATTTCATTCTTCGTAAAATATTTTGTTAAACCAAATATTTACCACTTAGAAAATTTAAGTTCATCATAAAATTTGGTTTATAAATCATATTTAGTGTCCTTTGTTTATCGAATAGATATATGCTCCCTTTTATTAACTCGATATAGTGCTGAGTGAACAAATAAAGTCTCTATGTCATTGGCAAATAAATACACATTTAATATTTATTTTTAGGTGCATAATTTTACAAGAAAGGAGAGGTCTAGGAGTCCGTTTCTTTGCTTAAAGATAATTGAAAAGAAGGAAAGATCCTAAAAAAGCGAATATGACACTTCTTCATCTCGCCACCGGATCAGGCCAATCAGATGTCGTTAAAGATTTAATCGAAGCGGGAATTGACGTAAATGAGCCTGATGAGCATGGAGCCCGACCCATTCATCTAGCTTCAATGTTTGGTTTTGAGGAAGTTCTTAAAACCTTACTGGATAATGGTGCTATGTATAACTGCACTGATAAATATAATAACACTCCACTGAATCTCGCTGTCACAGAAAATATAAAAGCATTACTTAAAAGTATGAAGAACTTTTTTTTATCTGTCAAAAGCAACGATGTTTCAAGTGTAAGGTCATTAATTGAGAAAAGTGTTAACGTTAACGCCAAAGATGCTACAAATGCTTCACCATTGCATTATGCTGCCTGGAAAGGAAACTTAGAAATAGCAAAGCTTTTGATTAAAAATGGTGCGCATCCCGATTCAATCGGGAAAAATGACTACACAGCTCTTCATTATGCTTCAAAGTTCAACAATTATGAAATAGTAAAACTGCTGTTAGAGAATGGTGCAATATACAATAGTTTATCAACAAATAAAAAGGTCCCTCTTGAACTTGCTGAAGACAAAAATGTTATTGATTTATTAAAATTAATCGATTCTTCTTTTGAAAATGTGCAAAGTTCTAATTTTGATGATGTTTTGCTAGTTCTTGAAAAACTTCGTGGCGCAACTACCATGAAAGCTATAGCAAAAGCGAAAAACAGAGAAAAGAAAACAATAATAAATTTTGCTATCGGCAGTAATTTTCCTAAATTGCGGCAATTGTATCGGATCATTTTTGATGATAGTGGTACGCATGTTTACAAGACTAGAAAATGTGTCACTAATGAAGACTATGATAAAGCTTTAAACAAACAAATATTTCTACATGAGAAATTATCGCAAATAAAAGGTTTTGATAATGCTATCACTTTAGAAGCTGAAGATAGAATACCACTAATCCTCTATGAACAACAAAAACTCCAGAAAGCATTAGAAGTTTGTCAAAATATTTTACAAAAAAGAATTAAGATTTTTGGATCAGATAACAAATACTCCCTACGAATGCAAGCGTTTTTGGCTCAAGTTTTACATAAACTAGGACAAAGCTCAAAGGCGATCGAGATTTTCCAAGAGGTATACAAAAAGCAACTTGAATTATTGGGTTCAGATAATTTAGAAGTTCTGTCTACTTTATCTAATATGGCCGGAGCTTTTTGTAATCTAGCTAGACATGAAGAAGCTCTGGAGGCTGATGAGACTGTTTTTAAAATGTACCTTAAACTATTTGGTCCAAAGGATTCCAGAACTTTAATTGCGCACGGTAATGTTGGACGATCTTTAAAGCAAGTATGCAAACTCGATGAAGCTATTTCAGTCTTTAAGTTTGTTCATGAGGAAATGAAAGAAGTATTAGGTCCATTTCATGCAGAAACTCAGGACGTACTTGGCAATTTACATGCTGTATTGCATATCAAAAACTTCTCGCATGATGCTTTGGAAGGATTAAGAGAAGTTTTTAAAATACAAAAAAATAACTTAGGCTCACACCATGATCTAACGTTGAATGCAGAAAAATATTTGTGTGAGGCATTATTTCTCGAAAAGAAATTCAATGAAGTTCTGAATATTTTAGAAGAGAGTGTTATAGAACGAAAATCTTTCTTCGGAGATAATCATCAATTTTTTCATTTCGCAGAAAAAATGATAAATGCTTCGAAGTTTAGTTTATTGATGGGAGGATTACAAGGTTTCCCTTTTATGAGTGCAAATAATTATTTCCATTCTCAAGGATATTTTTAGTACGTTTAAAAATTTTATTTTTCTATTCATAATATTTTACTATAACATATGAATGAATGATAATAAAATTTAAATATGATTTATTCAACACACCTATACCCAGTTTTTCTGATGAAAAGCCAGTTTCAAATTATAGCAATGTTGACAATACAAATGTAACTTTCTTTTTTTAAAGATTAAAGCAATGAGATATGTTCATAGTTAGTTGATTATTTCTGTACGTCTAATGTTCATAGTTAGTTGATTATTTCTGTACGTCTAAAGTAAATTTTATATCTGTGAACAGAAAAAATGATATCTGTTATGTTGATATATATTATACGAATATACTATAGAAAATATTTTATTCAACAATATGTTGTGGGTTATTTATGATTTGTGGTAATGCTAAATCGAATGAGAACATACNTTTTTTTTTTTTTTTTTTTTTTTTTTTTTCCTCATAAGATTTTAGGATTTTTCTTTCCTTTTTGAAAGATTACCATCACTTTGGAAATAATCATTAGTGTATTACTCCATCGTTTTTTCTTCTTTTTAAGATTATTTCCAAATAATTTTTTTTTTGGTTGTGCTTAAAGAAAACTGCTTTTTGTAGCGATTTAGAAAACCGGAAAAATCAGTTATCCGGAATACCGATCGTTCCGGATAATCGGTTCCCTACTGTATCTAAAAAAATTTAATGAATCGATAAAGCTAGAAAAAAGTTTCCTTTAATTATTAAAAGTATCATACTTCGAAATTTTTTATTTATATAATAGTTTTAAACCATACATTATTAATTTACTGGTCCCATCAACCAGTGCCCGTTTCCACCAGTTCAAATTTCGGTGAATAATTAAAGGTAAAGGTAGTTTTAACAACTCACAACCTTTTTACTGCTCTATTGGCTTCTAACCAAATGTCACATTTAATGGTAAAACTTTTTTTTTTTCAATTTTCGGTTACTTAACTTTTTTTAATGTATAATTCTCAATAATTGTTTCAATCTAAACTAAGCAAATATAGTAGTTTTCCTACAATAAGTTTTTGATCGTGAAATTGCTGCAACCACTGCCTGAAATTTAAAAAAAACTCATTTTAAGCAGGATTTTTAATAAACATCGAGTGATTTGTAAATTCAAAATATGTCAGAAAATAATTTGCAAATGCTTTTTATTAATCTATCCTTGTTGACAAAAGCAACGCTCTATTGTTTTTTAAGAGATTCTTATGATAATATTGATAATGTATCAATAATGATTCGTATAGATAATGAATATTGATAATGATTTATATTGATAATGATTTTAGTTTTGTACAAGTGTTACAGACCGAAGAACAATTTCTTTTTTAAAAATTTAAATCTCATAGAAACTTTTTTTTTCATTATAAGTTTTGTTACCCTCTCATAGATAATTTTTATATTGCATGACTGTTTGATCAAAATTAAAAAGCTTGTTTATTACCATTTATATATTTCCACCTAAAGAACTTAGTGGATGAAGGAGGCAAATAACTTTTTTCAGATGTACTTTATAATCTGGGAAAGTAACATAAAATTGTTGAATCAATGTGATATGTTTTATGCAACAGAATATTTTTGTTTGCTTTCACTTCAATTTTAACGTACGAAATCATATTAATTTTGTTTATGCTTGCAGGTATATTTTTTTTCTCAAATTAGGTAGTAGTGCATAAAATAATACCAGTTCAAAATTTTTTTTAGTAGATTTAGTGGAACTTAAACCAGTAAATTTAGTGGAACTTAAAATAACTTGCTAATACTTACATAAAGAACTTAGTGGATGAAGGAGGTAAATAACTTTTTCAGATGTATTTTATAATCATTGTGAGTAGCATGAAATAATCAAATCAATGTGGATATGTTGATGTAACATAATTTTTCTTGCATTCACTTTAATTTTAAAGTAAGAAAGCATATTAATTTTGATTATGTTTGCAGGTATATTTTTTTCTCAAATAAGGTAGTGGTGCATAAAATAATACCAGCTCAAACTTTGGTAAATTTAGTGGAATTTAAAATAACTTACTAATACTTACATAAAGAACGTAGTGGATGATGGAGGTAAATAATTTTTAGGAGGTATTTTATCATCATGGAAAATAACATAAAATTGTCGAATCAATGTGGATATGTTTGATATAACAGAATTTTTTTTTTTGCTTTCACTTTTATTTTAACTTAAGAAAGCATATTAATTTTGATAATGCTTGCAGGCAGGTATGTTTTTTCCTCAAATTAGGTAGTGGTGCATAAAATAATACCAGTTCAAACTTTGGTAAATTTTGTGGAACTTAAAATAACTTATTAATACTTACATAAAGAACTTATTGTAAGTAACATAAAATTGTTGAATCGATGTGGATATGTTTAATGTAACCGTTTTTTTTTTTTATTTAACTTTAATTTTAACGAAAGAAAGCATATTAATTTTGATTATTCTTGCTGGTATATTTTTTTCTCAAATTAGGCAGTGGTGCATAAAATAATACAAAGAATTATTAACGACGCCTTCCAATAAGTCAATAAAAAAATTGAATACCACTCTTCATCTTCTGATCCAGATTATAGCCACTTTTGAGAATTTATTCCTTGGAAAGGATAAAGTTGGTAAGTAGGCGGGGGGGAGGGGAATGCATTTTTAATTTTAAAAGCATTAAGCTCAAAGTTCGTAAGTAACACGGGTAGGTAGCTAAAATAGTGTAATTAATAACATTTTATAAAAAAATTCTGATTAACGTTGGTGTAACTTCTATGTACTCTCATAAAAAAAAATTTAAAAATATTTTTCAGCGTTTGAAAATTGCAAGAAGCAAAACATATTTTTTTTCTGATTATCCTACCGGGTAACCACTACCACGAAAAATTTAAAAAGTTGTAAAAATAATGCATGATGATTACGAAACTTTTAAGACTTTAAAAGCTTACTTTTAAATTTTAAGAACAACTTAGGCCTGTTTTAGCGTCTGGAAGTATTTCTCTTAATTTAAAAATATGTTTTGGGAAATATAATTCTTAGAAACGATTTGTTTCATTAGTTTTTTTTTCAATCATTAGTTTTTTTTTTTTCAATCACAAATTTTTTTTCACAGTCTTAAACAATTTGAATGCTAATAACCCGAATTCTCAAAACATGACTATCAGAAATCCAGAAACGTTAATACTTATCCTGATTCTTCAACTGGACGTGTGGAGCTGTTGTTGACGTTATTTATATTTGTCATGGACTCCGTAAGTTGTGGTGTTCGACTTAAAGATTGTTGAAATGCTAATGAAATAGAAAATCATTTTATCACGATATATCCAATAGAGGACTTTTTCTCTCTTTTTTTGTATAATTATGGACAGAGACACCACAAAGTGGGCTGCTGTAGGTCGTATTGTCATAGTCAGTAGGTTGTTCGAAGCTTTTAGACTTGTCGTTTGTGTATTTATCGATATACTTTCGGAAACATTACAGTTTCTTAAAATATTATGTATCATTTCATTGAGTCAACAACTAGTATGCATTGTAATTCAAGATCGAATTCAAGGTGGTTGCACAGACATGACTTCTGGGGGAGTTAGGTCACATAATCAGGATTAAAATTGCACATTCTGATGCCACAATAGTCATTTAATATTTCCTAGATTTTAAAATTTCTTTTATTTCGCAAATTTTATTTTCTCTCTTTCTTAATCTAATTTTACTTATATTAAACAATTTTAATTTTTTCACATTTTATGAAAAGAAAATATATAAATATTTTATTCTCTTCTTAACAATCAATCTAACGGCTGACTTACAAAATAAATGTAAAACTCATTAATTCATTGTCGCGACTAAATCGAGCATCAAAATCTAACTCTTTCTTTCTTAAGTTATTTTTCTTTCTCTAGCAGCAAAAAAATTTCAGTTACAATGTTATATTAATCTCACGGTGTTTTTGACAATTAAGCCCTAATTATTTCAAATTTAATGAAAATTATGGGGGGTTGGTTTTGTGTTTAATTATTTTATTTCTCAATAAATTGCCCACTAATGATCTCGTTCCATGCTCCTAACTGTCAGTTGGGGTCAATTCAATTACTTTTAAATTTGAATTCTTAGCTTTAGGATTGGTCTGACAGTTAAATTACTTAACGAAAATCTTCATGTTAGAAAGAATATGCTTCTCTTTATCTCTATAAGGGAACGCTTTTTATACCATTTTACACATCAAAGTAAATAAATTAAAAGGCATATAAAGAATGCATGGTGGTCACACAACGATATACTTTAAGCTCTGGCAAAATGAAAATCAGTTTCTCTCATCATTTCAATTAATATAATCCATTCAACTATTACTTGGGAATTTTTTCTTTGGAAAGGTTAAAGTTAGTGCGTATGCAAGGGGTAAAAAATATTTTTAATTAAAAAAAATAATGATAAAGTTTGTGCGAAACACAGGTCTAAGTGGCTCAAATAGTGTAATTAATAACATTTTGTGCAGATGAGTTTTATAAAAAAATTTCTTGATAACATAGCTGTAACTGTAATCTCTCATTAAGAAAATTAAAAACCTTATGCATTACAACTGTTCAAAAGTTGCATATGGCTTAAATATAACAAATTTGTTCAATCAATTGTTTCCACCCAATATTATATCAATATATTTATTCAAATCATTCAATCGATTGTTCACATTATAATTATCAGTTATTGAAATTTACGCTTATTTAGTGAAACTTTAACCATGAGGTCGTTATTAGATCTACGAAAATAATCAAAAAAATAATTTGTGCCATATATTTCAAAACACAATGTATACCAAATTTCGAATGATATAGTTTCATTTTATTTCACAGTCGGCATTTAACAAACGACATACTTATGATTATACGGCTATCAATGTTTTCTATTGTAATTGCAGTTCAGGATTCCTCCTTGTAAATTTGAACACAACCAAAAAGGCCAGGAAACTCTTAAAAACTCAATCGAAGCAAACTAGCCTTCGTTGATTACTTTTTGATGAAACTAACTAGCATTTGCTTGTAGAAAGCCACGAAAACCTCCCACTGTTACTCAGACAGCGAGAGATAACTCTATTCCATGATCCGTCTACCACTGAGAATAAATTTACATCAGCACGGTGGTCGGTGCTAGTCGTGAGCAGAACTAGAATCTATCAACCATTGCTGAGATTTGAATAATGTATCCCACAAACGTGGATTTATTGAGATACTTAGTTAGTTAATTCTAATTAAAGCAAAAAAATAAACTCGTGTGTTTATGGAAAATAATAATCACAGGTTATAAGTGCGCCAGTTACCATGCCAAAAATGAAGCCTATAAATGAACGCATGTAAATATTTAAGCGAGAAAAACAAACACAATCGAAGTCTAATGAATTACAATTGAAAATATATAAAATCTGTTCTGTTTGTTGGATAAAAGCTGAGGAGGGGGGTGTCTGATAACCGCCTTTCAATTCCTCTCAGTTTCCGGCAGCAAACAAACAGGTTTTGATGTGTTTTATATTAATTTGTTAACCCCAATCCTTATATTTTTACTTCATATTTGTCAAGGATTTTAAAATATGTATGAAGAAGAAACAAATTATATATATATCTATATTTCTATCATAATTTTTGTTTAGCCCTCTTTAGAACAAGAGTTAGAAGATAGGTTAAAAAATAGGCTTTGAAATGTATATGAATTTATAGTAAATTTTTTAATGTTTCTCGAAAAGACCCAATAATTAACAACTTTTTTCTTCATTGAATTCTGATTAGTTCATTGAAATCTAATCAATTCAGCTTTACACTATATTAAAACGGTATTATAAACTTTTCATTGTTGAAAAATGAGCACTTATAAAAGTAGCTTCATTATAACCTGATTAAAAAATTTCATTCTCTACAAAAATATACCCTTTGAATAAAAGAGTCAACATGTCAGCTCAAACATCGGTTCCCATTTTCAAGACTTGCCTGACGCGAAAGTCTTGAAAATGGGCACCTATTTTTATTGAAAGTCCTTAGCCAGGCATTCACTTTTAGCAAGCCTTGAAAATGGGCACCTAATTTTGAGCACTTATATCCAGTTTATATATTCCTTAAAATGAATGAAGTTTTTTTAATCAATGTCTTACCGCTTCTGTTTCTTGTTATTATTAATGTAATAGCTTCATTATGTTAGAATACTGTTCAAATATAATAAGTAAGACCTATTCCTTTTCAGTCGCTTCAGTAAATTGTTTTCATAAGTTCGAATAAAACCAAGTTCCGATAATATATGAAGGGATAAATTATTCTTTCCAGTCTTTTGTATTAAAAAACTTACTTTTATTTGAATAGGTTTATTCTCGAAATGTATCTCACTGCAGAGAAAATGTAAATAATCAGAAACAAACCGGTCGAAAAATTGTTTAAGGGCGACACTTTTATTTGCGTAACTAACTAATACACCAATTGTCCAAATTACTAACCTTACGGGTACGCGATTATACACTAAAATATTTTCCGCGCCTCCGAGAAAATCGGGTTGTGAAACATTTTTAGACGATTAAATAAATTTTTAAAAAAATCTGTGCTAGGACAAAAATTTATTAAGACAAATTTACCATGACGAAAGTTACAAAAATGTATTAAAATTACTTATTAAGGATAATTAATTGCCGATTTATAATTATTTTCATCAGGAATAAGTTCGATGTTATTAAATATTTTTCACATTCGAATAAAAATAATAGTCGATTCGGAACCATTATTTCGCTGTTTCATTGTCTTTTTTAGTTTTCATTTCTTGCACAATATTGTCTTATTAATTTTATTAATTTCATATATAATCTAAAGTGTCAAAAAGTACGTTAATAATAGCAAATTAAAATATGCTAGCCTTTTCTTAAACTAAAGAAGGGGATTTCCCGTAACACTTTATCTATTTATTCGATTGTGTAATATCATATGCTTTTGATCACCTGTTTCCAAATCAACAACATAAGTATGATACTCAGATTATCTTTCAGTATAAAAATCAATATTAAGAGAATTTTTATTCCATTTCTCGGTATTATTTCCAAGTGAAGATTTCTAAAGAGACAAAAAAAGTGAGTATTTAATTTTTATTCTATTATAAAATAATTCTGTTTAAAAAATACAAACTAATCGGAAAAATAAATATTAATTATTAGTGATTATCCCACGAACTTTCCTTTCAGCTGCTATAGATCTATTTTATCTAGATAAACTTATCTTAACTTATATTCAACCTGCTGTGAGCCTAGATTTTTTTTCACTTAAAGTAATTACATTGCATCAATAATCTGAGAATACCGAGTAAAAACGTCTGGATTATAACTCATATTCACAGACTTTTTTACGTTCATTGGTTAAATATAACAAAATCTGGGTTCGCTTCATCGTTAAGAAAATAAAAATGTAATTCAGTAAGTTTATATTCACTACTGTGCTCGTGATGTAATGTGTGATACGGAAAATTTTAATTTCAAAGAGGCAGCTAATATAAAGGAAATTCGTAATTTCTATATTAAAACATTAGCAGCCATTCTTAAATTTTCGATACTAATAATTTGATAATTTGAAAGAGATTGTATAATAAAGTTTTTATTTTTAATAATTTAAGATATATCAATTCTTTGAAAAGTTTATACTAATATATACATGTGATTGAATTTTGTTACTTTTACTTAAACTGGGTTACGTTTATTTTTGTATGATCTACAGAAATATTAATAATAAGAAAATAACTATTTAATAAATACATGATACAGCCATTTTTAAATTTTCGATTATAATAATTTGATAATTTGAAAGTGATAATATAATTGAGTTTTTCATTTAATAATTTAAGAGTATAACAATGCTTTGAAAAATTTATACTGATAAATAGATGTGACTGAATTTTGTTACTTTTACATAAACTGGGTTACGTTTATTTTTGTAGGATCTACAGAAATATTAATAATAAGAAAATTAATTATTTAATAAATACATGATACAGCCATTTTTAAATTTTTGATAATAATAATTTGATAATTTGAAAGTGATAATATAATAAAGTTTTTCTTTTAATAATTTAAGAGTATAACAATGCTTTGAAAAGTTTATACTAATAAATATATGTGATTGAATTTTGTTACTTTTACATAAACTGGGTTACGTTTATTTTTGTATGATCTACAGAACAATTAACAATAAGAAAATTAGTTTATTTACTAAATACATGTTATAGCCATTTTTAAATTTTTGATAATAATAATTTGGAACTAATATAATAAAGTTTTTCTTTTAATAATTTAAGAGTATAACGATGCTTTGAAAAGTTTATACTAATAAATAGATGTGACTGAATTTTGTTACTTTTACATAAACTGGGTTGCGTTTATTTTTGTATGTTCTGCAAAAATATTAATAATAAGAAAATTAGTTTATTTAATAAGTACATGATACAGCCATTTTTAAATTTTCGATAATAATAATTTGAAAGTGATAATATAATAAAGTTTTTCTTTTAATAATTTAAGAGTATAAAAATGTTTGAAAAGCTTATACTAATAAATACATTGTGATTGAATTTTGTTACTTTTGCTGAAACTGGGTTACGTTAGTTTTGTATGATCTACAGAAATATTACTTAAGAAAATTAATTATTTAATAAATACATGATACAGCCATTTTTAAATTTTCGATAATAATAATTTGATAATTTGAAAGTGATAATATAATAAAGTTTTTCTTCTAATAATTTAAGAGTTTAACAATGCTTTGAAAAGTTTCTACTAATAAATACATTGTGATTGAATTTTGTTACTTTTACTTAAACTGGATTACGTTTATTTTTGTATGATCTACAGAAATATTAATAATAAGAAAATTAATTATTTAATAAGTACATGATACAGCCGTTTTTAAATTTTTGATAATAATAATTTGATAATTTAATAAAGTTTTTCTTTTAATAATTTAAGAGTTTAACAATGCTTTGAAAAGCTTATACTAATAAATACATTGTGATTGAATTTTGTTTCTTTTACAGAAACTGGGTTACGTTAGTTTTGTATGATCTACTGAAATATTAATTAAAAAAATTAATTATTTAATGAATACATGATACAGCCATTTTTAAATTTTCAATAATAATAATTTGATAATTTGAAAGTGATTATATAATAAAGTTTTTATTTTTAATAATTTAAGAGTATATCAATGCTTTGAAAATTTTATTCTAATAAATATATGTGATTGAATTTTGTTACTTTTACATAAACAGCGTTACGTTTATTTTTGTATGATTTACAAAAATTTTAAAAATAGGAAAATTAAATATTTAATAAATCGAATACTATTATCCTTTGACAAAAAAAACTACTATTTTATAAATTAATAGCTTTAGCCGAATATTAATTAATAGCCGAAATCAAGAGAATGCCAACTTTCACCCTTGAATGTCAATAATCACATAGTCACTTTGGTGAATGTCCGAAATATTTGTTATATCTGATTTGATATTAATGTAATCGTTGACATTATTATATTTATTCGATATTTTGGAATGTGCTGAGGATATATTAGGAGAAACATCAATAATCGGAGTAACGGTTAAATGCATACTGGACAGTGGCGCTTGACTGTAACAAATATTAAAGCTCACATTATAAAGTTTTTGCTATTTTTTATTAACTATTCTCCAACACAAGTTACAATGCGCTTGAAACGGAACATGTTATGACTGTTGATAAGTCTTGATTCTTACTTCTCATAAGGAATATTAAAAGAAATAAAATCCTCATGAAGAGTATAAAGATGCCAAACCATTCCTTTACCGGGAAACTACCATTTTGTTCCTTACCGTTTAAGCCATAAACCTTGATTATTCTTCTGAAATGCAAGCGATTGAAATTGTTCGCAAATGCAAACAAACGTTTTTATCGATGGCTTCGAAGAAACGGAAAATTCGACGTTTCGGGAAATAAAAAAAATAAAAAAATTTGTGAATTTATTAATAAAAATAACAAAGAAATAATAGCACCAGGTCGGCTATAGTTGTACGGGATAGAAAACAAATCAGGTTGTTAAAAATTTAGCATGAATATTTGTTTTACAAGGAAAATAAACTATCCATAACTTAAGTACCACTACTCTTACAAATGGAACAAGTGAATTAATACAAAGTATGTATGCAAATCTTGCAACTTTTACGTATTTTGTGTAAAATTTAATTTCTACATTTAAAGTGTAGGGAAAATTTATTTGTCCTATTTATTTCTTGGATTTCTAAATTTAATTTTAAACTATTTTACCACCAATACATAGAAATAGACTAAGATTTATGCAAGTAAATGATAATTATACGCTGGGTTGCCACAGGCGACTGAAAAATGTGAAAGATACTGACCAATAAGTTTCAAAATATTATTAACAAGAATCAAAGTAAGCGAACTTTTTATTGCATATTTTTCCCAGCTTACTATTGAATGTATAACCGCCATCTTGTACTATCATTGCAGCGAGGAAAGAAAAAAAACGTTGAAACATATTAAATTATAAAATAGTTATAACGAGCTTGTTTTTTCCAAAGTAAAGAGAGAAATTTAAAAAAAATTAAATAAATTACATTTTTAAGACAGTTCTTGTTTTAATTTTAATGAAGCATGCACTTGATCATTTCTTATATATTCATAAAATAAATATAATGTGAAATATTTACTATCCCATATATCGTGTTGAAATGAACTATCAAAAATGTGCGGCATTCTTAGGTATTTTGATGGCAGAGACACGCTAACAAATAGAATACAAGTAAAAAAATTTAATTTTAAAAAAGAAATATTTAAAATCAAGAAGGATCTAAACTCACATTTTTAATTTCTGATTAAACTAAACTCAGATGTTAAATTTAAAGGGAAAATTATTCATAGATAAGGAATTTAATATTCAACGCAATTTTTTTCTTAAATGCAACGAATATTTAAATTTGTAAGATTTATGTTTCACAAAATTTTAGTGTACCACGTCAACAATGGTGGTACCTATTTAACACCAGAGTGATGTACTGAAAAGCGATACATAACTCTTGTATTTAGTGGTTCACTATAAAAATGTTCTCTTACGATGCTTGTTGTAAAGTAGCCGCCATAATGTTTTTCTTCAATAACATTCAAACTTATAATTACAGTAAGATAAAATACACATATGAGTCAGTAAAGATAGTTTTGCAATAATATATAAAGTAAGCTTCATTAATTTAGAATACATATAAACAACAATTCTTAAAATGAAATTAGTTTGTAAATCAAGCACCCATCAGCGAAGTGCAGGGAGAATCTTAAGACGGATTCAAATTAGGCTTAACAGAGCGGAAGCTGACAGGCAGTATACATTATAAAATCAGTTTGTAAACTCTCAGAGATTTAAAAATTAAATTTCAATTGTCCTCATTACACAACTAAAAACATTCATGCTTATTTAAAAGAGAATTTTTGTTCACGTTGATGAAATTCAGCTTTGAAAAGGGCAATAAACTCTCGCCATATCATTTCAGTTTGCAAACAGACTACTAGCTTTATTCCACTTGAAGTTTCAGGAAATTCAAATAGTTTAAACATTGGTGTTTTCAGAAGTGAAATAATTATCGTATGGTGTAAAAGCATGAGAGTTTAGTGTAAGAATGTTCAATATTATGTGTTTAGACTACAATCTTTAAACCATATACGAACGCTCGATTTAGTGTTGAACCAGAATGAAGGGCACCTTCACACAGTTTTTTGGATTGTTGAATGTCATATTCGAAGAGATATAACATCAAAAATTTTACAATGTAAAACTTCATTAATAAACTACCTTTTTTAACGCAATTTTGAACAAAATATCATTTTTTAGATAAAATAAAAATACGAATTTTCTTATTTTAAAAACCATTTTAGTTTTATTTCTCCGTTAAAAAGAATAAAATTTAAGAGGATTTGAAAGAAACATCAATGCTAGTTTTTAAAATAATAACTCTGTCATTTTTGTTCTTTTTCTAAGAACGAATTTGTCAGTTATTAACATTTATTCGAAATGCAATATCTCAAAATATTTTGGTTCAAGTTACGTGATTTTTTTCTCGAAAAAAAAGTAAATTTTTGGACTTTTTTTGGTCCAATTTTCTCTCATATATTTTAAAATGAATTAAAATATTTTTTTTGTATTCATTTCGTACATTCAACAATTATTGAACATTTCAAAATTTTGCCTCTAAAGTTATTTGGGTTAAATAAAATCGTATTATAATCGTATTACATTAAATATTTTGCTTAAACCAAATATACCACTTACAAAATTTAACCACTTACGTAAACCACTTACAAAATTTAAATTCATAGTAAAATTCGGTTTATACATCATATTTAGTGTTCTTAGTTTATCATCATACATGTAACCTTTCATTAACTCGACATAATTATGAGTGGACAAACTAAGTTCCATTTTATGTTATTGGCAATTAAAGAAAAATTTGAAACTTATTTTTATTTTATTTTTAGGGCATAATATTACAAAAAGAAAGAGATCTGGGAGACACTTACGTTGCTTAAGGATCCTGGTAAAAGAAGGAAAGGCCCTAAGGAAGGGATGATGACACTTCTTCATCTCGCCACAGAATCAGGCCAAACAGATGTCGTTAAGGATTTAATCGAAGCTGGGATTGACGTAAATGAGCCTGATGAGCATGGAGCCCGACCACTTCATCTAGCTTCAATGCATGGTTTTGAGGAAGTTCTTAAAATCTTATTGGATAATGGTGCTATGTATAATTGTACTGATAAATATAATAACACTCCTCTGAATCTTGCTGCCACCGAAAATATAAAAGCACTACTGAAAAGTATGAAGAAATTTTTTTTATCTGTCAAAAGCAATGATATTTCAAGTGTAAAATCATTCATTGAGAAAGGTGTTAGCGTTAACGCCAAAGATAATACAAATGCTTCACCATTGCATTATGCTGCCTGGAAAGGACACTTGGAAATTTCAAACATTTTAATTAATAATGGCGGAAATCCTAATTCGATCGGGAAAAATGACTACACAGCTCTTCATTATGCTTCAAAATTCAACAATTATGAAATAGTAAAACTGCTGTTAGAGAATGGTGCAATATACAATAGTTTGTCAACCAATAAAAAAGTCCCTCTTGAACTTGCTGAAGACAAAAATGTTATTGAGTTATTAAAACTAATCGATTCTTCTTTTGAAAATGTGCAAAGTTCTAATTCTGATAATGTTTTGCTAGTTCTTGAAAAACTTCGTGGCACAACTATAATGAAAGCTATAGCAAAAGCGAAAAACAAGGAAAGGAAAACAATAATAAATTTTGCTATCGGCAGTAATTTTCCAAAATTGCGGCAATTGTATCGGGTCATTTTTGAAGATTGTGGTTACAAGACAGGAAAATGCGTCACTAATGAAAACAATGATAATGCTTTACACAGACAAATATTTCTACATGAGAAATTATCGCAAACGAAAGGTTTTGATAATGCTATCACTTTAGAAGCAGAAGATAGAATACCACTAATCCTCTATAAGCAACAAAAACACCAGAAAGCATTAGAAGTTTGTCAAAATATTTTACAAAAAAGAATAAAGATTTTTGGATCGGATAACAAATACTCCCTACGAATGCAAGCCTTTTTGGCTCAAGGTTTGCATGCACTAGGACAAAGTTCAAAGGCGATTGAAATTTTCGAAGAGGTATACAAAAAACAACTTAACTTATTGGGTTCAGATAATTTAGATGTTCTGACGACTTTATCTAATATGGCAAGAGCTTTTAATTATCTTAATAGACATGAAGAAGCTCTGGAGGCTGATGAAACTGTTTTTAAAATGTATCTTAAACTGTATGGTCCAAAGGATTGTAGAACTTTAATTGCGCAGAGTAACGTTGGTCGATCGTTAAAGTACGTAGGCAAGCTCGATGAAGCTATTTCTGTTTTTAAGTTTGTGCATGAGGAATTGAAAGAAGCATTAGGTACATTTCACGCAGAAACTCATCATGTACTTGGCAATTTACATGCTGCATTGCACATGAAAAGCCATTCGCACGAGGCTTTGGAAGGATTAAGAGAAGTTTTTAGAATACAAAAAACTAACTTAGGCTCACACCATGTTCTAACGTTGAATGCAGAAAAATATTTGTGTGAGGCATTATTTTTCGAAAAGAAATTCAATGAAGTTCTGGATATTTTAGAAAAGGGCGTTATAGAACGAAAATCTTTATTAGGAGATAATCATCAATTTTTTCATTTCGCAGAAAAAATGATAAATGCTTCAAAGTTTAGGTTGATGATGGGAGGATCACAAGGTTTCCCTTATGTCCGTGTAAATGATTTTTTCCAACCTCAAACATATGTAGAGTACATTTAAAAATTTTATTTTTCTATTAATAATATTTTACTACAATATATGAATGAATGATAATACATTTTGAATATGATTCATTCAACGCATGTATATCCAGTTTTGCTGATGAAATTCTGGTTTCAAATTATAACAGTGAGGACAAAATAAGTGTAACTTTCTTTTTTTAAAGATGAAAGCAATGAGATATGCTCATAATTGAATATGTCTTTACGTCTAAAGTAAATTTAATGTGTGTGAACGAACAGTGAAAATGATACTTATTATGTCTAAATATATATTTCACCGATATAATGTGTATCATTTATGTTTTATTGTAATGATAAATCGAATGAAAACATAGAATGTTAAAATTTTCATTTAAAAATTATGTATAAAGTTACAAAATGTTAAGATTAACAAAAAGAGTTACAAAATGTTAATTGAAAACCAACCAACTATGCTCGATAAAGCTAGCAAAATGTTTCCTTTTTATATAACAAAGTCTCATACTTTGCAATTTTTGATTTATATAATAATTTTAAACCAGACATTATTAACTTGTTGGTCCCACCTATCAGTTCTCGTATCTACCAGTTAAAACTTTGGTGAATATTCAAAGGTAAAGTTAGTTTTAACAACTCACAACCTTTTTATGGCGCTATTGTCTTCTAATCAAATGTCACATTTAATGGTAAAACAACATTTTTGTAATTTTTGGTTGCTTAACTTTTTTTAGTGTCTACTTCTCAATAATTGTTTCAATCAAAACTAAGCAAATGTAAAAGTTCTCCTACAATAAGTGTTTCGTCAAGAAATCGCTGCAACCACTGCTACAAAATCTAAACACATTTTTTTTAATTTCCTATTATCGGAATTTCGTAGTAGAATTTCAAATAAAAATCAAATGATATATAAATTCAAGATATGTCTGAAAAGATTTTGTAAATATATTTTTTCATCTATCCTTGCAGACTATATCCACACGCTATTGTTTTTAAGAGATTCTTATGATCATGTTTATGTTATTGCAATGATTATATTGATGAATTTATCGTTGTTATAATGATAATTCTGTTATTTTAATGACAAAAAATGAAAATAAAATTTTTTGAACAATTACCAAAGATTACTTATGTTTGAGAGATTTTTATATTTCAAAAATTAAATTTATATTGAATATTGTTTGAACCTTGATATAAAATACAACCAGTTTAAACTTACCTGTAAATTAACTAATTTTAAGGCAATAACGATTGTTTTAGTGTTGCTTTGTTAATCGTTAATTAGGGAGTTCAAATTACTTTTTAATCTAAAAGTAAAAGGAAAATGCCGTTTTCAGTTTAGTACAAGTATTATAGATCTAAGAAGAATTTTTGTTTTTAATTTTTATAAATTTTTTTTGATCATCATTAGTTTTGTTACCGTGTTATGATTTTTTTTAATATTGTATGTAATTTTTTATCTAACTCTTAATCAAAAATAAAATGCTTGTTTATTGCCATTTATTTCTTTCCCACATGAAGAACTTAAGCAGGAGGTAAATAGCTTTTTCAGAGATATTTAATAATCATAGAAACTAACATAAAATTGTCGAATCAGTATGGCTATATTTGACGTAACATAATTGTTTTTGCTTGCATGTTAATTTTAACGTAAGGAACCATATTAATTTTGAGTTAGCTGGAAGTAATATTTTCGTTTTGAAATTTAGCTTGTGGGATATATAAAATAATACAAAGGATTTTCAACCACGAATTCCAATAAATCCATCATAAAATAATTTCAATACCACACTTTATTATTTGACCCTGATTGTAGTTTTTATATAAGAAGTGGTATAATATATTTTATTTAATCTAGATCTTCATTAATTTAGTAAAAAATTATTTCATACCACAACTAGCAAATAAGTTGAAAGATATGTAAAAAAAAATATGCATGGTTGTCATACAACGGTATTCCTTAAGTTCTGGTAAATTGAAGGTCATCTTTTTGCAAACATCATTTCAATTAAATAGTATTCAACATAAATGGCATTCAACTAAAACTAAGGGTAAAGTTGGTGCGTAAGCGAGAGGTGACAATTATCATTTTTAATTAAAAACAAATTAAGCATAAATTTCTTAAAAAAATACAGGTCTAGATGGCTCAAATAGTGTAATTAATAACTTTTTGTGCTAATGAATTTTATTAAAAAAATTCTTAATAACATAGCTGTAACTTTTATAATCTCTCATAAAAAATAAAAAAACATTTTGCATTGGTTGAAAATTCTAAAAAGCAAAAAAAGAAAAAAATATTCTTGTTATCATGCTGGGTGATCACTGCTGCGAAAAATTTAAGCAGTTGTAGAACTAATTCATGATGCTTACGGAAACTTCAAAGATTTTAAGTTTTATTCAATTTTAAGAACAACTTTGGCCTGTTTTAACATCTAGAGATGTTTCTTTTAATTTAAAAATGTGTTTTGGTAAATATAAGTTAATAGAAACAATTTGTTTGTTCAGTTCAGTTACAGTTAAAACTTCTCCCGGCTTTGATCCCCTTGAATGCTAATTACCTGATTCCTCAAAACCTGACTGTCAGAACTCTAAAAACTTGCATACTAATCCTGACACTTCAGAGGGGCATCTGGAGCTGTTGCGACGTTATTTATATTCATCAGTAACTTCTCAGGTTGTGGTTTTCAACTTAGCGTTTGTAGAAATGCTAATGAAATAGAAGAGCATTTTGCCACGATATATACATAAGACTTTGTTTACTTTTTTTTGCATTTTGGTTAGAGATGTGCAAATCAAAAATAGGCTATAACTATAGGCTATGCTTATACTGTGGGTCGTATTGTCATCGTCAATTGGTTGTTTGGATCATTTAGGCTTGAGGGGGCCTTTTACCCCTCCTTCATGCAATACTTAATGCTGTATTGAATATTATACTTTCCCATCTCTGTTCATCAGAAACACGTTGGCGTTTCTTTGCCATTCTGATGTTAATTCTAATTTCCATAATTGCTAAAAACATTTCTACATTTATTACTTTCGTTTTCCGAGCACGTAACACTGGAGGACATTTTTTTTTTGCGTTGAGATTTGATAGTTCTTACTACCAATTAGCATTCATGATTTCACCCAGGATGTTTTTGCGAGCAGTTGTTAGAACTATAACCAGGATAAGACATGTAATTATCGTACATACTTTCGAAAGCAAAACAGTCTGTTAAAATATTATGTATCATTTCATTGAATCAGCAACGATACATTGTATTTAAAGAATGAATTCCAGGTGATGGCACATTAATGGGGCAGAAGACTTCTAGAGGAGTTAGGTCACATAATCAGGATTAAAATAGCATAGTGGAATGCCACAACAGGCATTGCATATCTCTTACCATATAAAATTTCCTTAATTTCATAAATTGTATTTTTTATCTTCCTTAATCTAATTTTAATTAAGTTAAACCAATTATTTGACTTTTATTACATTTTTTAAAAAGAATATAGAAATATTTTATTCTCTTCTTAACATTCAATCTGCCGGCTAACTTACAAAACAAATGTAAAACTAATTAATTCGCTGTTGCGACTGAATGGAACAACAAAATCTATTCATAACTCCTTATTTCTGAAGTTAATTTTTTGTAAAACTCATTAATTCGCTGTTGCGACTAAATGGAACTTCAAAATCTATTCATAACTCCTTATTTCTGAAGTTAATTTTTTGTAAAACTCATTAATTCGCTGTTGCGACTAAATGGAACACCAAAATCTATTCATAACTCCTTATTTCTGAAGTTAATTTTTTGTAAAACTCATTAATTCGCTGTTGCGACTAAATGGAACATCAAAATCTATTCATGGCTCCATATTTCTGAAGTTAATTTTTTTTTTACCGCAAAAATGTTTCAGTTACAATGTTATATTAATTCTCACGGTGTGTTTATATCGATTCAGCTATAGCCAAATCATTACAAATTTAATGAAAATTATGGGGGTTTGTTGTTGCTTTTGGCTATAATGTTAAAAAATAATATTGCATCTCTATGTCTCTATTAGGGAACACTTTTTATTGTTGACATATGATGGCCATGACGTCTCTAATAATAATATTTCTATAAATAAATCAACAATTCCTTACATGAAATAATTGTTTTTCAATTTTTTCGAATTAATCCACGTGATATAAGATGCGCAATGTAAAAAAGTAATTTTTACTTCGTCCAAAATCTTCAAAATGATTCTACCTCCATCAGGGGCGGATCCAGAAATTTTTCTTGGGGAGGATCATAGACCCCCCCCCCCAATTAATTTTTTTTATAAAAAAATTTTTTATTAATATTTTTGTGAAAATAAATGGGGTTTTTAATGCTAGTCTTCTCATTTATTTTTTTCGTAATGGACAATAGAACAATACATAAATAGTTCAAGTATTCAACATCTTTAAGTAATAAATGTAACGCGTTTTCTAGAAACTTTGGCAAATCTGTCAATGGTTTTTGCAACATCCAAATCAATTTCTCGATGAATGTTTAATAATGCAAGTCCATTTAATCCTTCTTGATTTTGAGTTGTTCTAAACCAAGTTTTGAGACGTCGAAGAGTTGAAAAGGAACGTTCTGCTGTTGATGGCGCGAAAAGAATATAATTAGGTGGGGAGGGGGAATTGATTTTTTCCGCCCTATGTAGGTGTATATACCCCCTTAAATAATTTTTAAAATATTTTATTTCTTTTGTAAATTACTAAGAAAAAAATTTATTTTTCAATTTTGGGACGGGGGGGGGGTGGATCCGCCACTGACCATCATCACACTAACTGGACAAACTACCATCAAATAAAATAAATAACTAAAATGGACCAAACTTCCTACAAACAAAGGAACATAAGCTGCCAAAAGTGCCTCACCGTTATGAAATGTTTCTTCATGTGCTTCCGGACAAATCATATAGGGAAAGTACCCCTCGCTGCGTGCAACGACGTACTTGGACTTGGGTTTATGTGCAATTTTACTCTTGATGATGTTCCCTAACTTAAAAGTGTTGTCCAACATTTACGAGACACACTGTTACATTCTCATGCTTGTACATTTCAACAACAAAAAACAGACTAAAAATATCTTTTTTAAACACGATCTGTAGCTTTAGGTGCAAAACTAATTTTAGATTTGATATCCTCACACCCGAATTTCGCAAGATTAAATATTTTTATAAATGCAAGAAAAAGTTTTCTCTTCAAGTAATCTGACTCTTCCGATTCAGAGCTTAACTTCCTTCACTCGCTTGCTGCAAGTTTGGATTGTATGCTTATTCCAGGATTTTTTCCTTGTTCCAGTAATTACGAACTACTGTTTTAGATCTCTTTATTATATTTCCCAACCACTTAATCCACATTCTAGAGAAGCAACTATGTTCCTTTCTTTTCAGAATCTGAAAGATGTAATCCTTTGAGCATCGTTCAAATTCCTCGATGAAAGTCGACGAGTGTGAAATTTCCTTCACAAACCTGACTGATATTTTCTATTGCTCAAAAATGCAAATTTTTCAATAACTTGATAAAAAAAAACAATACCCTTCTATTTCTTTTCCAATGTCATTTGAATATAAAAATTGAAAAGTAATTTTAAGCAGGCTTATATTTGAAAATTTTTATTAATTTACAAAAGAAATAATTTAAATTTACTCCTGTTTTCATTTCAAAATTTGGCGATTTTTCGCATGGTAATACTTTTTTTCGCTCATTGTATGAAGTTGCATTTTTTATGATGCTTCTAATTTTTGATAGGTCATAGCTAAAAACTACTTAAAGTGAAAAACAATCAGCAAAAAATAAATTAAATTGCTTTAAAACGGAAAATATTTTTTACAAAGCTGAGCTAAATGGCATTTCTGCAAATGGCACCTTTTTTGGAGAAGTTATGAAATATTTGATGAAAAAAAATTTTCCCCATCAGAAAAATTAAAATTATAAAAATCATAAATCATTCAAAAAAGTTAAAATTATTAAAAAATTATAAAATGGGCAGCAACAAAAAATTTTTAATCCAACTATATATTCGATTAACCACAATGAATTTTACAATTCTGACTTTATATGCGTGACCTTCCAAATCTCTAAAAATTATAAAA